CAGCTTCCCAGTTTATGTGGAAATACACCTAATATTATGCTTACTTTTTATTATTACGCGTTAATACTAAGAGGACACTTCTAGTAACTGAAGAGCAAAAGTGGGTGAGGGCCATGGTGTATCCACTAAATGCATTAAAGCTTCCACGTCTGTAACGTTCATTGTTGGAAAATTAATTTACGCCTAGCCATTGATCACAAAATTAGAACAAGTCTTGTTCGTGACGCCTAAGCTATTGTTGCAATATATATAGGTAGGGCGATTGTATAAACCTCAATCGTTCCGGAACCCGTTTGCTCAAACTCGAGAGATAATTGCAACTACATATGTGGGTTTGAAGAATGGGGCCGTTGAAACCAATGTTCAAGGCAGAGGGACAGAGCAGAAGTAACCACGAACCACATGTATCGAAGTATTAGCAAAATTGTAATCAGTCATTAACTGTCCGATGTCAGTGTTGAAGGGTTGACAGACGTACTAGACAGAAGGCCGCACACAAGTTGGGTGACCTCATACATGTTGGCCATGAAATGTGATAAAAAAGGTGAATGGATTGTGGAGATAATGATTTCAATCCAGCTGTAGGGGAGACTACTCGCTGATCATTCAAAACGAAATTAGCAAAGATATCGTAAGCGGTGTGGAAGTGACGAACGCGTAAAAGGTGGTCCACCACTAAACAAGGGAGATAAGGGTATGGATGCTGTGCAATACAAATACACAGTAGGAAGATAGGTTGAACATTACTTCCTACGTGGATTGAGGACGAGGCTTAATGCATGAGCGGTTCTCACAGCTAGTTGGCAAGATAAATTGAGCGAATTGTGAACTACCCACAAGTGACCTCCAAGGGTACGCTTCAGAGGAATATCCCCGCACTGGAATTACCAACTACAACGTCTCTGGAAGTACTGAGCGCTGGTCGAATTAAATGAGTACAGGGGGTATGGAAGATTAAGAACACAAGCAGATCCAGCTAGACGTACGTCCCACATACAGCGAAGCATTGCACCGTCATTTCTCCCTGTGCATACTTATTTCCGATCTCACAGCCATCTTCGTACGAAGCAGTCCCTTACGCTGGGGAGTCGTGGTTGCATTGTCTGGACCACCATGTTTTTATGCTGTGAAATAAAGCGATTTGTGAGAATCGGACGCAAATCTTTTAGTCATATTGGGGGCAGGTGAGGTTCATAGAGGTGCAAATTTCATCGGTAAAACATAAACCACTTAATATCGTCATAAGCTAAATTGGACAGGTTGAAAGTGCATAGTGCTTTTCGTATGCATATTCGTACAAATCTAGGACACAAAAGTGGCTTGTGACCTCCCTTAAAGTAATTGCCGAATATTGTTGCTTCAAGTGGTGGTTTAGACTAAAGATTTTCTTGTTTACCTTTGGTATATGAGTCACCATCTCCAGCCCGTGTTCACAACAGAACCGACAGTGTGCGTGTGTCTGTCTATCGATTACCCACTCGCCAGTGGCTTGATTTCAGTTAATGATAGATGCTCTGTATCCGTTCTGACCAAAATACATATTTGTATGTTGCCAACTGGTTACATCCTGTTGTCTTTGCGTCGTTCGGCTACAAGCCATTATTGCGTTCACAGGCTAGCGTTGTATCCGCAAGTGCAAGTTCAACATTGCTTAATGGCAGGAAGATTTTACAGTGAAGAAAACGCGCACGCTGTCAACTTCCTCTTTGTCTCTTGACCGGTTTTTGAGTGCCACCGTTCATGAACTGCTAAGTGGTCCTTCAATCGTTAGTTAAGTAGCGAATTATCAAGAATACTGGGAGAAAACCAATAATTTCCTTGGTTACGCTTAGTATGTTAATGCGTAGTATCACGCTTGCAATTTGAACGGCCATTCCGAATAAGCGGGAGAAACTGGGTGTGGTTGTATGGAACTAGTTTGTCAGCCGATTTGGTTGTCGTTGCATTTATCACAAAACATATGTATCAGCTCTGACCATCAGCTGCTCCCCTCATCTTTGAACTCTTTCCTAATTGAGAGACGTAGGCTGTTTCTTCTTCTATTTTTAGTGCAAATACAGTTACAGCTCCTAAGCGTTTTCCTTTTGTTAAGGCGTTGGTGTGTTACGCTGTTTGTTCATTACCATCGGTTGGTTGGTATTTTCATGATACTGTGTGTTGGCGTAGTAATAACGTTTGACCCACCATGCAGGGAGGTGCCAAAGATCGCAAAGGATTAATCGGTTGATCTGTGTAAAGAAATCGTGTGTAATTTGGTTTCTGGACTTTGAATCTCTTGGTGGATGCTGTGATTAAAAAACCAAAACTGGCAAATTCCACGAATTTAAAAGTCCAAATAAGGTAACATAAGATAGTTTACTTTACCGGCATATTTTTGCAGTTAAATGAACCGTTTACCCCTGTCCATTAATTTGTGCAGTTGTGCCATTAAAAGACGCAACCGTTCAATTAAGCCAACTTGAAACGAATTAATTTATATCAATAAAACATTTTAAATATGGTGCTTGAAGACATTTACTGCAAATTACATTACGTTCAACAGTAGCGATTAGTTTGACGATTAAATGGTTTCTGTTACAAGTGTCTCAACAATTAGACTTTTCTCTTCGTATAACTATTATTAAACTATTAATTACCGTCTACTGTCGTCTAGACGACAACAGACCGACTGGGAGGCGTACATCAAGCTGGAACGCTTTCACTTACTGTACTCAAGAGTATGGGGGTTTTGGTGTCTTTAAATGAGCGTTCGTCACAGGAGGCTCCGAATAAGATATTCGTCCAAATGTCCTGAAAAGCACTGGATTGCATTTCCAACCTGTTGGATAGCATCGAAGTATTTGAACTCCTCTTTTTGCTCAAACGTCCAATCTGGAGACAAAGAAATGCTTCTTCAGCTCAAGAACTTCAGGAAAGCGGGTTACGCGTTCATATTGATAAGATTTGCACTCTAAGAATTAGCTGTTATATCCGGTCACATCAATTTCTTTCATTCATTAACAATTTCGGATTTGGCTAATTGTATTTAATAGGTGGTTGACCATACAGTTATGTAGACTGTATCTTTTCTCGACTGAGGCTGACTAAACTGTCGCAACTTAATTAACCCGATTGCCTCCGGCTACTACCAAGCAGAAACGCTAGTGTCGCTTGCCTTTCTGTAGCGGAACTCGGTCTGGGTCTGCTTACAGACACAGAAGTATGCGTGTAGATCCGATTCTCATGTTTATGGCCAACGCCTCAACGGTACATTGCAAGCCTCTGCGATACTTGACGCCACGTTATAACTAAAATAGCCAACAATCGCTTCTTAGCTTCATTCTATTCGTGATATACGAGTTTACCAGAGGAGATACTCCAGTGTTGCACAGTAAGCACATTTATTTTACTTTTTAAAATAAATATTAACTACGTTTTCTAGAAAGTAACCGCTCGCAGCGAATCCAGCAGGCGGATGATTGTTTCCTCCACTGTGCTATGTCTCCGCAAAATTTTGAAGAATATCCAAATGAATACTTTAGCTGAACACCTATCATGCAGGAACATTAAAGAACGAGTCTCTTGTATTTTTCTCCGCGACTGGTGATATGTTAGCAGAAGTTCTATGTCCAAGAGAGGTGGCATCATCAGTAAAGTCTTGCAGCAGTTCGTAAGTGTTCTCCTGTTTGAGTGGTTTATGGACTGATCATTGGCCTCAATTTCAGGCATCACTTAATTCGTATAAGTGATGGCTTCCTGAGCGTTCTGTCGTGTGAATCTTCAGCAGATTGATTAAGACTCCTTTGCACTCATAAACAGAAATTACCGATGCCTGACTTATAACCCGACGGTTAGCTATGTTTGCGTTGCGTTGTGTCTGGATTTCTTCCAGTGCCACCCACGCAGTAGTTGTTGTACTTTCTACAACGGATCTTACATTTCACTTCCGTTGTCTCCTCACTGCTGAGCCAACTCTTTGCCTGGAGGTTGTTGTTCCGAGTCGTTTTATTTTGTTTTAGAGGATTCAGTTCCTATGGGGTGCTTGAAAACCGGTTCTCAAAAACAGGGAACATTCGATCTCACAGTTATTGGTAGTCTGATAGGACACTCAATTTCAATAGCTAGACAAGAATAAAAGGAGCACACCAGAAAACGTGACGGCAGCCCCCAGAAACCGCATCGTTATTATACCGTAATCTCTTGTTCCTTGACGAGCACATTTCGACATAATGATTTAAATACTGTTGGCTAAGTTGTACGTCTAGTTGTGTATTCAGAAAAATTCAACTACTGTATGATGTACAACGAGGCTGTAAAATCGCGATAAATGCTGACTAATTGTAGTTTAGACGAAAAGGACAGACAGTTTTCAATAATTTACGGCTTTCGCTACTTAATGTAGTCTTAACTAACCTATGACTGCATAAGCATTGTCTGGCTTTTTTGACCACTGACTTGTGACCAAATGATGATATTTGATGATATATATGATGATATATGATAGCTTTCTGGGCTTTTACCTATTGCATGACGACCGAGGTCAATTTAATTCAGATCATCAAGGCATAAGGTATTCTAGATAAAATTGTTGGTATAGTTTTTACCTCCCTCAATAGCCTCTCGCTATAAACCAACACTCGGTGGCTATTTCAACACCGTGGACACCTGATGACATCATGAAAGTGAATGCGGACATTCTACTCACGGTAAAATTTCAGTGTAAACTACTTGCATGATGGATACCTCATAGCTTAAAACAGTCATTAAACAAGAATGTTTCTGAGTAGTACATTGAATCACGTCATGTGAATTCATGGTACACCAGTAAGACCTATCCGGCCTAAGTCAAGTTAGTTGGAACCACCTGCTCATCCATCAGCTGAAAGCTAATGCTTAGAGTCTCCTGCAAGATATTTGTGCCAACCACGAAGCAGCAACCAAAGAGAGGAAATCATATTTTAAAGCGCATCCTTTACGTATAAGCTTAAGCGCGACAGATTTCTATTTCACTTGTTGAAAATCTCTTTATTTTATCGAAATAATCATGTCCTCATCAGATTTTGTAGAAGTGCTACAGTTCGCAGCGTCTCATTGCTAACAGCATTGATCACCTTGTCGGTATCATGATTTTGAAAATAGCAGTTTAACCTGTAGGCTCTTCTTCCACTACAATTAATTTGTGTAAGTCAATTCAAGTCAAAATAAGCTCTATACACACCAATAAGTTCATTTTCAATGTCGAAATGCAGCAGTGCATATATATAAACGCTGGAAGCAAGTGCTTAGCTGCAGTCAAATCAATCTATTAATCCGGGCTCCAAATTTGCAATGATGATAACCAGAGGTTCATTTCGTGAAGAGTTACCTCTCCAATTTCATTTAATATTTCTCGAATCACATTGCTATTTACACACCATCAAGGGCGAAACCATCTGCCCCAATCGTGACTAAGGTAACTCGCCAAATTTATAGCAACTAGTTTGTGTCTAAAATCAATTTTATTTCATAATAATAGCAAAGGATATGCTGTCATGGAGGACGGGTGAAAAGGAGCAAAGCTTTATCATCATATGGTGTCAAACAGAAATCAAAGCACCTGCTAAGTTCACAAGTAGCTCCTTTTATATTTACACTTTGATCAGTAATTTCGTTTAACTCAATGGAAGTTGACACCAGTAACTACAGTAGGATTCCTGTGAATTTATGGTCCATAAGCTTTAAATGTATTGGGAAAATAATGTTGGTTAACGAAGTAATACAAACACTTCATTCAAAACCATGGACAAAAGTTTACTTGTTGTTATATATAAATCATTTACATAACAGACAGAGATTGGGACAGAAAAGGAGCATGCATGTGGTGAAGATTTATTGCAATTAGACTCAGTCAGACTGCCTTCACAAATCCAGGATAGCGCTGTATCATGCTATTTGAACTCGTCAATAGCACTCACCAGCCGGATCCGCGCTTCATGCTACAAAAAGCATGATAACTTCTTATACGCCCCACTTTTAAGCAGTAATCCCTTAGTAGTTTACATGCCTCCTCCACTGATGGCCGTTTACCAATGTATTCGTAGCTCTAAAGACTTACAATACCCTCCAAAAGTGCATAACATACATTACAGTACAGGGTGGCCGCGCTTCATGGCAGATACCTACCAATCATGGCGGTCCGTCGCTATCACCCATAGATCATTGACCTAAGTGTGACTAACGAGAGTGTGGTCGTGGGTACGAATCCGGTAGGATTAAACTGGTGCGCCCTACTGACCAATACTATTAAGACGAAAGATACATCTTACGCTTTCCTGGATGTGGTGGATGTTTGGCTAAAGAAGGTTGCGACCAATCTTCTCCTAATACCCTTCGGACTGGGTATAGGTTATGAAAAACGGTAACACAGAGACATGAAATACCTAGAGTATTGATGTAGAATACGTACAGGTTAATCAGTAGAACCGATAGCCTTGCGCGAGGGGTATAATATAGTGCCAATGACGGGAGGAGTTGCACAATTTAGACTGCTTATTAAATACACTTACTTGGTCAATCTACCTAAATGTCTATGCTTCATGGTCGGACACTGAGTCCATCAACTAACTGGCGTGATCAATGCGCCGGGTGATGTAGTATAGGTTGAAGTGATGGATAGAGTCATACACCTATTCCCTAATTTAATTAGTAAGCTTGCAATATATTTTTGTAACAGCAGCCTATACTATATATGTTGACTAGTCATTTTGGTTTGGATGTAGATGTGTACGATTAAGGCTTGCGCTGTCGCGGCGGTGGTCTTTGTTGATTCTTCTGGCAACTTTTCTGCACAATGTCACGTGTTGAATGCTGGAGGAGTACATGCATTACTCCACAGTCAACAATTGTGAACGTACTGAAAAGAATGCATTCATTTTGGATTAACCCGCACTGCCCACTAGTTGCATGAGATGAGGCCCTCGAACTCCTTACCCTTCTGCGTAGGGATAACATTTAACTTCTTGGTCCACTGATAAGACCGGTAGCTGTGGTGACAAAGTAAAAATGTAGATAACCTGAAAGCGCTATTTACGGCTCTGATTGTAGAAAATAGGCTCCACCAGTCTTCATCCCAGCAGCGTTCAAATCAGATAGCTATTTTACATGCCCGAAAACGCGCCAGACGTCCAGTTGGACCTATAGGATCTGGTCAGTATTGTGCATCCGTCAGCTAATTCAGGATCCGAACTCATGATCACCATCGGTTTGAAACGCCGGACAGCAGCTGGTGGTACTCATTAGTACTCACAAGTACATTAGATCTACTAACTTGGACAGGCAAACTGTTGGGATGCCCCATTGTCTTGGGGCTTAAATTAAAGCCTAAAAAATCTTGGTCCTTGCTTTCCAACTGTGCACTGATGGAAACACTGTTGAGTGTCCTGGAATGATGAAACAACCGTCCAGTTCGTTCCAGCATGGTGATTGAATTTTAAATAAATGAATAAATGGTAGAAAACGCGACGATATTAGAAACTGTTCAACAGACGAGACAGGTAAGAATGCTAAAATCACACCATGTTTGTGACCTAATGAAGTTAAAAGAATATGTATAAATTTCACTTGTAGGTGGGTAACAAAACGTAATTCAAATTATTTGCTGGTTTATTAAATTATCGATGATTGTGATTTTCACAACATCACGACAGCTGTTCGAGGCGAAAAAATGAAACAAAATACTGCACACCTAAAGGTGATACACAGGTAGTGATTTAGCGCTAATACATGTTCTTAATTATATCACGCGTCACCGGTACTGTTTTCGAGAGCGCTGTCCAGAGATTGTGATTTTGCTAACCTGCTAACTGCCTTTTGTACAGTCATATAATGATTACCAGTGAACTTGGACCTATGAAGTGCATCCACTTTCTGATTGCTCATGGAAAGCAGTTCCAGGTCCTAGAGTAGGGGATCAGAATCAGCAGTGTCTGCGTTTGGGGCTGAATTTCGCCATCGTTGCCTTTGACTCTGATATATACCGGGTATCTAGTTTTGCAAGACAATTGAACAACGTTAAAAACACTATGTTCACGGATTTCTCATGTTTATTTCACCCCAGTGATTTTGCTTAGAAAGTGATAGAAATGATAATTGTTGTCAACATCCAGATGGTGACCAGAAGTAGTATTTCACGGGATGGGATGTTTGGCTGAATTGTCACTTGTACTAATTTTTCGCTCTTGTGATTCCGTTGAGCAAAATTGTACTTTCTTGCTTTAAAAGGCATTGTATGTTTCACTCAAACTTCGTCAGTAAATAATTCCTGCAAAAGTACTTTGCCGACTGTTTGGTAACTTCCTTAAGACAGAAAGGAAACCGGTAATATTATTATACCACCGCCACTTAACAATTTATGTGGATAGTTTCCTTTTTGCTTTCCCTGAATTACATCCCTTTGCAATTTTCCACCTTTTAGTAACTTATGTATTTGGATTGCTCACCGTCATCCTGATTACGCTCATATTAAAATCATCGATTGGCCGGCTCCGACCAAATTTTATCTCTATCTGCAAACCGGCAAAGACCGTCTGTCCTCGATGGTCTGCGCTACTCGAAGCAGCAGGTTACAGATATACAAATTTTGACAGCCAACAGGATTATTCCTCAGATCCACAACTCTTGTCCTTTTTGGCTGAGGAATCCGCCAAACGAGGATTTGTCCTGGTCCCCAGAACAACTACGCCACCGCCCGACCAATCGATACGCGGCACGAAAAATGAAAAGGGTGCATTCTCAGATAGGGACTGCACAGAGAAACGCATTCTTCGGTTGAAGTATGCAAGGTTCGTCCCTTACTCAGCTATTAACTACAGATGGTGTTAGAGTCTGCCTGCAGCGATTTCGAAACACCCACTCGTGTATTTGTTACATGAAATAAGAAGTAATCAAGTTTAAGAAAAACTTAAATATACTAAAAATATACGGGACCAATTACACAGAATTTACTTGACGAAAACGGTTTCGGCAGTCAAGGTTTGCTAAACAAATTTATACTCTCCAATAACCCACAGTTCTCTTATCTCAGGTCCATACGCCAACACAATGGTTTTATTGATCATGAGTTGCCGGATCCATTAATTCCATAAATAATTTCTAAACGCACCCCAAGGTAGGGAACATTTTAGACTTTATACGGAGCGGCGTTCTAACAGCAAATTTCCCGAGAGTAAGGGGGAAGTTTTCATACCATTTTTCTGTAGTTTCCTTCAGTTATTGCTTTGTGTGGAGGAATTTGTCAGTATGAAGACAGTTTTACCTGTTGCGTGATAAAGCTAGCTCATGTGGCCTTGGTTCATCTGCCACTAGCTCCTCCTCTGCGGCACCTACTAATTTTTGCTTATTTCATAAACTGGTACAACTGATTTTAGGGTTGGGTAATTTGCCGTCCACAAAGTTGTACAATCTCTACCAACTTTTTGCGATTAGGAACATTCTGAAGACCATTTTATGTGCTAACAATCTGTGCGTCGCTTAAGAAACAAATTAAAAGGGAGAGTAAAAGCCACGCCATTGGACCCGACCTTCGCCATGATTATTCTGAACCGAATAAATAACTGTTTCATTCCCGGCAGTACAAGGCACGCCTGCGAAGGCATTAATTATCATGCGAATATAAACAGGTGTGGTCGGTAATTGTATAAAAATATAGCAAATTAACCGGTAACATACTAGAGTTATGTGTGCATGTATATATGTAGGTGTGTCTATTAGTGAACATGGTGTGTGAACTTGTGAAGTGTGACTGAATTCGTGAGTTTGTTTGCTGTCTACGCCATCGTATGAAGGGATCAAAAGAACTCTGCGAACTGGATGAGGTTCGTGCAGTGGAGAAGATCCTCCGGAAGAGGGAGAGGCAGTGACTTTATTTAGTGACGAGTTACATCCACCACGTTGCACTGTTGTCAAACGGACCTTTGTGGCTTTTTATATGGAGAACGCTTGCCAGGCGAAAGCCTACCATGTCTTGGAACCCAGCCGCCTAACTATTCGCTGGAACGGGATTAAGACGAAGCACAGCTGGAGCCACATGGAGGTTCTTAGGTTAGCTAGCTGATCATGCATTTAAATCTACCTTACAAGATTGATATTGAGTATCGAACTAATCGTCGCGAAAGGAGGATTTTTATCTTTCCCTAAAGCTTGCTAATCTCTAGTAGCCACACTGTTAAAGTATCTTTTTTATTGTAGAACTTCATTTCCATCGTTATGCGCGTCGGTTACCATGTACGCAACTGTCTTCGTGGCGGTAAGCTACCACATTTGTCTATTTTTTGAATGAAATCAACACAGATGGGAAGCATACATTTATTCAAAAGAGGTATTTAATGTTTATTGTGCTTTTATTGGTCAACTGCTTTTCTAAACTTGTCTAACATTGTGTAGTAATGCTTTTTTCGGCAATTAGTCACAGGTTTAAGTTTGCTGAAGCCTGACTGTTACTGAAGTAAGGCAACTCACCTCCTAGAGATGACCGGTCCTAGTTTAATGGTATTTTTGTCACTAATATCTTCAAGCTCTAGTTAATCAAATTACAAAAAGGCCTACAGCTTTACTTATGGTAGGCGGTCGGCGTGTCTTCAGCAAATGAAGAGAAAGATCACTCAAAAAGGACAAAATTATACTTGGGAGATAACAGCGATAAGCTGTCCATATAATTTCAAAACCCTTCATTAAAGGAAAAACTGTTCCGCGACTGCGAGATACCCTTAACTTCGTGTAAACGAAAGCACTTAGTTGGTAGTTTAAATCCGTTTTGAAAATAACCGGGAGCTTTATGACACCTCCGTTGTCTGTGTCCACTAGTCTGAAGACGCGATTATCGTCGTTTATTTTGCTCGTATCCTGTTAATTAGCAATGTAGTGTAGTTGATGGAATGGTTCAGTTTAAGCCGTCTTGTGAAAGAAACCAGATTCCTACCCGTCACTCTAAGTTTGCTATGAGTTGTTTGCGGCTTGTGCATTGTTAATTGAGAAAAACCACTGGAATTTCTGTAACACCATAAGGCGATATTTAAAAAGTGTATTATGCTGTAACGATTATGATCTCAAACCAAATGAACCAGTGATCAAAATGGGATTCCATCCGTACTGAGTACCACTGACGGCGACAATATAATGGTGTAGCTGAACCTTAGACATAACGCTTAAGAGAAGTTGGTTTATGGAAATTTTGAACTCCGTACGTGGGGCAGAACGATAAGACCTCTTCATGGCTACCCATTGAGCTCCGGTTAGTAAAAGGTCCCAGATTCAAGACACCGTTTCTTTAAGAAAACCAGTTTACCATGACGCTTGCATCAAAAGTATTGAATAAGAAATATGGTAAAAGCTATTTACATTTGAACTCATTCGCGTTTTCTCAATTTTAAGCGGTTCGACCAAAATTACAAAACATTCAGCTTGTTTAGTATATCATTTCATAGTTTTAGACGGGGACGTTAATTCAAAGTGCTGGCTTAATCAGCTACATCATTCTCCGTAACAAAATGCGACTAAGATATTTCCAATCTTATCGGCGAAATAGCTTGAACCATCTATGCACATGGAATTGACGCGGATGCGTTAATTATTATGGATCCATTTACTCAAAAATGCTTGAGACTGAGGGAAAAGGAAAGCTATTGTAAATGCTGCAGTGTTCATTAGCTGCACATCAGATATCGGGTGACGAGTAAAACCTAATTATGTAAAAGATCCCGCTTTGTCTAGAATAAAATAGTTATTTATTTATTTATTTATCTATGAAATGCTTACATGGCAAAGGAGGCTGCCAAGAATAAGTCTCATGAGCAACATAGCTCCAATGAAAGTTGGCTCCGTGAATGGACCGCAATAAACGCTGCTCAGTTTGTGTAACAAATCGTATTCTACACTTTTGTCATCCGTGTAGGCTGACAGGAAGCTATATACGCTAAATACTGCATGCATCTGGTTACATCTGGCCAACCACTCTATCCTAGAACGATAAATAACGCCATAGTTAGACTGATTTTGATACTATCTTACCAGCTGCTTAAACAAGGAGCTCAATAGTTCATCCATTTCCGTTACGTGCTGCTACTTCAATCTAGTTTACTCATGTACTTAACATCAATAACTGGCAAAATGTGCAACCTCAGCTGCTTACTACAGGTAGTGGCGTTTGTGCGGTCATTAAGTCACATAGACATGCTTGACAAACTCGTTCCGTTATGATCTATCGTTGTAACCAGGAATAGATGGTTGTCTAACACGGCTATAACTTATCCTGACGGAAGTGTTGAGTACATTTTAATTTTTTGCTATCTTCAAACAAGTGCTTTGTATTGACATGATTTTCCAATGCATGCGACTGACAACTCCACCAATCTACGACTGGATTTAGATACGGCACTCATTATGCATGTTCTTTTACAAGCATATTTATACACGGAAGAGTAGAAGGGAGAGCTAAATTATATAAGTAGAAGCTCATCACATCTAGACTTACACAGCCATCACATGCCCGGCCCTTTCATCCTTTCGGGGGCCGTCAGCAGTGCGCATTCCATCTGACCCTTGTAGAGCATGAATTCGCAACCAGGCTATTGACACTTTGTGGTTAAGACGACTGTAATCAGTACGCAGACCAAACTGCTTAGAATGCCAAAAGTTAATTGGCGGCCTAAGTATGGTAAGTACATCGATTGAAGAAGGGGATACTCTGTCCCCTGCACGGTAGTAACGTGCAAGTCAGTGGATAGTGAGCGACACTATATCCCATCTAGAAACTTATTCACGACGGCCGTTGCGCTTCCCCGGAGCTCGTTAATCTTAAACACAAACTGGAAACTGTCGAGTTGCAAGTTCGAGCCCATCAAGGGTCAGATGGAATACGCACTGCTGACAACTCGCGAAAGAATGAAGCGGCCGTGCAGTGCCTTTCCGGGCATGTAATATCTGTCTGAGTGAGTCTAGATGTGCTGAATTTCGATCTACACTTATACACGTCAGCTGAGCTGGACCGTCTGTATAGTAGGATACGGTATGAGCCAAAAAAAGCCCTGTGAAGTGATTACACAGAGACGCTTTACTGAGTCAATAATAGTCGGGACAACAGTCGGAATTAGACTGTCAGAAGCACACTGTAGAACTATCTATTAAGTCTCACGCGGCAACAAAGAGACCAGGCCAACAGCCATCCAGCATACTGGACAAACATGCATAGCGCGCAGGGTGTGCTAAAACAGCTGTTTTGTTCAGAACGAGTAAATGTGTGTTGAGCAAAAAACAGTTTAATTTTCCTATAAAATATATAGCTGTACATTTCCAGACAGATATTAAATGGACATTCCAAAGTTTTGATGAGCTGGCCATCATTGTAAAAGCTTTATCACAAAACGTGATAAATGTAATATGGATATTTTGGGTGGCGGGAAACCTTCAGGTCTTTTTAAATCCCTGTCAAAGCTACATGGATCAAACGCATTTACCTACAGTCCAGGATTATGAAACGGACAAATTGTCTTGCTTTGCTTTACTTTATCGGTTAGAGTACTCATTTCATAGGTAACTTAGACAAAGCAGCCTTACATTTGACTGCGATTTACTAAGAAGAAGTTCGACTAACTGGTTGCCTGCGGCCACGAATAAGGCGGAGAAATGCGTGATGTTACTAGTGTTATTTTAAACTATCGACAACCAAAAAATAAGATGGATGTATTTTAAGTAAAGCTCATTCCCTATGCAAGAATTATTTAGATGACCTACGGCTAACAAATTTTGGCCACTGTAAGCTCATTGGGTCCACTGGGCTTCGCTTTTTAAACTGTTACAAAGTTACGCAGACTGCAAAGCACAATGTTGTCCTTGTGGATGGGGTTTACAAGGTTTGAACCAATATCGAAGTTTAAATAGGATTTTTCAATGATAAACAAGCCATAACTTTCACGGTTGCTTTTGAGCGTTCGCCACACTAATATCTATCTATGCCTTCGCGTGACGCTACATTGAGGGAAGTTGATTAAGGTATGATATTATTGGATTAGCAGATAAGAAAAACCGTTTGCTAATGTCCTTCCTCGGAGGATTGACCATAAGCCCTAAGGATTTATCGAAAAGGAGCGTAAACTTAGGGCCTTTTTAATTAATGCACGACAACCAATGAGTTGAGTAGCTAATTTTGTGCATGTAGATTCGTGAGTTGTTCTATTGTCTGTTGTCTGATGAAGGTGACTTATAATTTTACATTTAAGAGCTTCCTGATTTGAATCCCAACCAATGAAGACTTATTGAAAATATGAATAAAGGACACCTGTTTTCCAAGTTCGCCAGAAATACAGGGTTTAACAATGTCAAGAATCAAAGCAGTTTAAAAGAAGATTTACACATCCCATTGGTTGCCTTATCTGATTCAGTGGCTGATGTCACGTCAACCACACAGGCCAGCCCATGAGATTTCTAGGCGTATTGAAGTACTTCACTTCATTTCAAGGTCACATCTCAAGTCGACTAGTTCCGCAATTGGTGAAGCCGTAATTAAAGGTTAGGGATATAAACTTATACAATACATGCCACTACTTTGCATTACTAATCTTTGCAGTTCCAGAATAAAACATTGATTTTGGCCGCCTAGGTCTGCTAGTAGAAATGTTCCCTCCCACACACACAAAACAGAGGTGACGGCTTCAGGGCAACAGTAACACAGTGGTTTCTGCAAAGCAAATCTTTTCAAGCATAAGAAATCGCGGTTCATTTTTCGTCACTGCAATACCCATCCAGTGCTTTTCGGCATGTACTCGAAAGAACTAGGGAATCGGCAGCAGTATGCAACTCATCTATCCTTTGTGGGGCAAGAATTGAAGATAATACTTGCGCGCGACATTAGTTAGAACCGTTGAGTTATATAGGCCGGAAATCCTCGATATCACAAAGTTTGTAATAGCAACCTAAGACAAGCCAAAAAGCGAAATTGTTGCGGTTCCAGGTTGTACCAATTGTGCAACGGTCGTCCGAACGAGTTTAGTGTTATTGGGTTCTACACATGCAGTAGAAGATCCATTACTTCCTTGTAATCGGTCATCTACCAAGAGTACTTAATAGGCCAAAATTTCATGGAATTTTGGTGTTTCACATGCCTTTACTCGGGTAGGCTCCCCTGTCGTCTGCTCAGCAATAATCTGCAACTCAGTGGAAAAGGAACCAGGAAGAATTACGACCAGTAACATATTTACGCGGGTCCTTGTCGTCCACCGCTGCCGAGCAGCAACTTATTAGGAGTATGATCACAGTTTCCTGGGAACGTGTGACATGTGTGTTGCTGACGTTTCCTGAGTAGACTAAACAGCCGTCCAGCAGTGAGCTGGTCATCCTATCAAGCATCGTTTTGATGGATGCAATTTATTTTATTTAAGTTCCATGTAGCAAGAATATGCAGGCACTGTTAACAGCACATAGTAACTTACGCCGGAAAGTCCTGAGAAGTATTTCCGCAGATATCTTATCATCTACATAAAAACTAACTCATGACTTCAACTGAGTTGCTCAGAGTTGCGATGGGTGACTAAAACCCACCGCAACGGTGTGTCATTTCTGAAAGTTTGTTTCTTGCTATTCTTTGATTATTCATATAGCGATTTCGTAAGTTGAAGTACTGACAATTGACTTACCCCGTGTAAAAGCAGGGTGTAGTTACTTCACAAACAACTGTGATATGAGGAATTGGTCAAGTTTGAACTGCCATCCCATAATGTGGTCAGACTCCTTTGTTGTACAGTAGACATTTACACGCCGCGTAAGTTTATGTCCTGAAAAGGTTTGGGATCTCACTAGAATAGTGGGATCATAGGAGTAAATATGCCAAGGCCCGTGAGGTGTTTAGAGTGCATTACGTAAATTCAGAAAATGTGACAGTATAATTAAACGCTTAACTGTGAACTCAACACAATTTACATTACGGTGAGGCTTCATCCCAGTAGTTCACGCGTTACATAGCAGAGCCTAGTCCGAAAAAGCACCGAACGCATTTCGCCCTATTGGGGCTCGTCAGTGGTGCGCATTCTCTCGGTCCTCTAAGGAGGATCGAACCCATGACCGCTAGATACAGATGCCAACTGGTCAGCAGTTGAAGTCAATAATCCCTGAGGAAGATTGGTTGGGCTACATAATTTGCAAATTAACTTAAAATTACATCAGTTTATCCGATTTCGTGAGCGTTGGTCAGAACAGTGCTTGTCCGCATCTTGTCGTTCCTTGAAGAGCGGAAGTTGAATCCAGTAATACAGAGGGTGTAGTGCGTGGTCCAGTAGTCTTTTATGAAAATGAGTCGGGCTGGCGCAGATGTGATAAGTGTCGAAGGAGTATTCCACAGTCGACAAACTATAAGCCATAAGTAATCCCGAGGCATTCCCGCCGGTTGTAGTAAAGGGCCAGTTTCCTCTGGTGGTTTCACAGTTTTGTGTTGCGACTAAGTTTCAGCAGGTGGTGGTATGAGTGACCGGCGTTTCAAGATCTGATACGACAGAATTATTTCACAAGTTTAACGGCGATAACTTCGTTTTCCAGTTGTACTTGATATGGAAAATGGAACAATCCCTTCACAATTTTGGTTGCCTTTCGCTGTGGGGTCTCTAGTGGAACCAGATTTCTTTTTAGCCAGGGTTGCCGGGGCACCAATCGCGTACCCTACATGGGGCTTCACACATGCGTCCAGCATTTAAAGGGAGAAAGTGGGGTCAAAACTCCGGAACGCCCTCTGTTCGGGTATTGAGAGACTATGCCATCCTGATCTCAATTACAAATGGTGTATCAGTTGTGCAGATCATAGAGCCACTGAAGTACCTGATTCATTGTTATCATCGGGACAAAACAGTGTCTGTACTTCATGTCAGTTGCGGTTCATTACGTGTTCGGACAACCAATCGTTATCAGTTGAACCTGTGAGCTGATAATTTGCAGGGGTTATGAGAAGTGTCGTTTTGTTCTGGTGTTTTAAGCACTCAAGCTGACGCCGGGGGTTTAGCATTTCTTGTTTCACCTGTGTAGGGGCATTAAGGAAAAAGGTGGTAGGCTAATTACACGAATCAACCGGTCAATTAAAGTTAACTGGAGAAGTCAATCGCCATAAACACATACTCGTGCATATTTTTCGATGCCGAAATTAGAATGCCTAGGACGATTATTGCAGCTTGCATGTTCCTAGATAACCAGTTAATGTAATAGATAAATAATCTAGCGTATAGTGAGGCCATAAATTGATATTAGTCCTTACTCGATATCTTGGAATATATTTGGAACCGATCGGGAAGTCATCATTTCAGAAAACTTGGTAGACGACCGGTTAATAAACTAATAGTGATGCACAACGTTTCGCTTCTGACAATAAAGCTACATCAGGCGAAGTGAATTAGCTTAACATTGGCATTTTATAACGATCATGGCTAAGCTACATAGAGACCAATCACCATAAATATATTAACCGGTCTTCTACCAAGTTTTCTGAAATGATATTTGTCTTTACTCTACAAAACCATCGCTCGTGACGATATGTTGGAGCTAGCATAGGGTGGCCCATTGTTCTGAATGGAGAGTCGTCACATCCACAATAAAGTCAAAAATCTATTGCACTGGACCGCCAGCACATCTTTGCAAAATTCGCAGTAATGAATGATTTTAGCTATCCCTGTATGGCTGGAACCTGTGATCCTGCCATCAAGTCTTCATGCTTAATATCACTGAGCAAATGAGGGATTTGTGACGTCCAGCATGACTAAGTAAACTACTGGATCACCACATCCAACTTCACAGGTTACAAGGGATCAAAGTGCGGTGTAGTAGGTGAATCTCTAACCTCTATGTGGTGAATTGCGATGTTGCACAGTGTGCAGTCCTTGGATTGCGATTATGCTTGGTATTTCTCAGCGATCTTCAAGAGCTACCCTTTCAATTACCTGCTTTCTGCCGACGATGCCAAGATACGGCGAATGATTATCAACAACGATATTGACTACTCCATCCGGTATGCTTTGGATTTCGTTCATGACAAGGTTAACACGGCCAAATGCTTGATTATTCATGTAGATAAGTAGTCCGTTAGTATATCCCAGTTTGAGAAAACATCTTAAAGTAATATCCCTAGGAGTCTGAACTTGTGATATGGATCCAGGACGATCTCTGCTAATCAAAACAATCCGGTAAGAGGAGGAGAACCGGTAATCAAACATAGGTCTTCTAGGCAGGCCGTTTGGTTGCTATGGTCCCTCAATGTTCTCAAATTCTTAGCGCGTAAGTTTGGCTGCGTATGGAATACACCAGCCAATGGTGGCACACATGGCAGAATTAAGACCTTACAGCACTCGGGAATCCTCAACGATGCACATGCAGGTATACGGTGTACCTATTCCATCTGACCTACCAACATAGAATAAAGCCGCGAGGAATGTACAGCAAGCGGCATAGGCGCTTGCGAAGGCACGTCATAATGTTTTACCGGATCCTAAAGTTTCACAACTCCAGTTGCCAGCTGTTGTAACTGAGCCGGATATTAGGCTGAGCGGTCACTATCTAAGTCTGTTCAATCAGTGTGGTCAGTGGGGATGCCATCGTAATTTCTTTTCCCTTCGACTATACCAGCCGTGGAATGCTCTCCAGCATACTTTGCCTATGCCTCCAGTCTAACAAATCACTATGACATTGGTAGTTCTGTTGAGAACTTGTGTCCGCCAGGTGGCTACGTAACGCAGCCAAACTCTGTGTTTCAAAATTTTAGCCAATTGGATTTAAGTTTATAATCACATGAAAATCCCATTGAGTTCCCCTATGGGTAGGCAAGTTTCTTGCCGGTCTTCGTTAATTTTACTATTTTTATCCCAGCATCTTGGGACTTGTTACGCGTTCTGTTTTACTCCTCTTATACCACACGAATAGTTCTATTCCACATCCATGGGAACTACCAAGATAAAGAGGACAGGAGCAACCCTCTCATTTATGAATGTAACTAGTCACTAGGCAAAATGTAATCCGAATATTTACTTGCAATACTGTCTAAGGTAGCGTATAATGCTGTAGGAAGATAGCAGCACAACTGAACTGTTTGGTACTAATCCAATCAATTCACTGTACCTAGAAGAGAGTTAAATTGTAAAAGCTTGTGTCCGCCCATTTTTTCTTCCTCCAGGTCTACATCACACACATGCTGCGTTATTTACGAAAAACATGCTTTTGTATACCGCTATCGCTTTTGCTCGGTGGGTGCTTGGCCAATGTATTTCTTGGACTCGGACGTGTCGTGTACCGTGAGAACTGGTTGGAAGACGTGATCGCTGGGTGGGGCGTTGGCCTACTCATTGCTGGATACGTGGTAGGTTCCGTCCGATTCACAACTGCTGTAAGAGTTGGCTTAATGCTTTCGAATTCTATACTAAAGTGTGGTAGTCTAATAAACTTTTGCTAAACTTCTTTATGGAAGCTGTAATGTTGATAGCAGGAAAGGTAAGTAAATACCTCCGCTAGAGCACTGCTCTGAAGCATAGCCACCAGATGAAACGTGGCGTATTTGCTGTCACCTAGTTCCAATGATACAAAATATTTTGTGTTTTATTTGCACCCGAGTGTACCTGACACAGTAGTCAGTAAAAGTGCTTTGTAAGTGTGGAATAAGTTTGTAGGAAGAATGAAACTTCAATAAGGTTTATACACAGGGCGACTAAAAGAGCTGCAGTATAGTTCGTGAGCTCACGCTACCAGGCTGACTTAAACATACGGGGGGTTTGCTCCAAAACAAGCTCTTACATTATATTTGCTTTAGCGAAACTGGATTTCAAACCAGAAAGGGCAAAAGCACCAGTCGGCCTTTTCGGCCTTTTGGGGGCAGTCAGTGATGCGCTTTCCATTAGTCCCGGACACTGGCCCGCTAGCGGCTTGACCATTAGCAAGTAGTTTACGCCCTTGAGCCACGGAGGACTACTTGTTACCACCAAGGACCGAAATGTGACTGCAATGTACCTCAACCAATCCCCAACTGTCATGCAGGTTACTGTCCGTGCAGAGGACGGTGGTTGGCCCACTTGTGTTAGCGCTTCAGTGCCAGTAACCGTGAATCCATACAGCATTCTGAAAGCTGTTACGGCTATTTTTGAGGCCGCTATCCAGTTGACTGACTTATTCATTTACCTGTGTGTTGTTTTGCAACCATAGATAATTACAATTATCATACCTCCCATATCGGATGGAGCATGCAGGAAAACTCAACTTGGTCACAGCACACATTCCACAAAATCCAATCAGCATGTACCTTTTTTCGGGTTTTTCCGACAAACCGTGACTCATGACTTTACACATTATGAAAGCTGTATTTGTAATTTAACTAAAAGCAATGGAGATCAGTTCAAATGAGACTTTTCGACGTCCCATTACAAATTAAACATCATCAGGGCTAAGCTATTAACAGTCTTATTTGCTCCACTGATTCGCTAGTTTTAACTCGTAATATCCGCGCGTATGTCTGATTCTTAATGCCTCTGTCCACCATGACTATGTGGTACAAGCTACTATCTAGTATCTCAAACCGTTATTGGTCATGAGTTCGGATTCGATGGATCTGATGGTTTTGTAATACAGACCACAACCAACAGGTCGAGACAGCCACCTAATGCATTTCCGGATATGTGAAAGACTATCCGATTTAGGAGCTACTGTGAAGTAACTTCCGACAATTTACATCAAAATCCTCTGCTCATGAGTATAATCAAATTAGTTTATTTTCGACAATGCGAGGCAAACAACGTATTCAGTGACCGGATAGATAAAAAGATGGTATATATTTCTTAACATTGCGGGGCAGACCACCAAAGTGGTCTGATCATTTTACGCAACATGGTAAAACAATATAAAAGTCCTACAAATTTTACAACCAACTTAATGAGGCTGGACCTCACCGTGGTGCGATGGCTTGTGTGCCACAGAGATCCATTGAGCTATGCTGGGTGGTGCTTTTGCACATTCTGAGGCACTCATACCAGATTAGTCAATGGTTAGAAGCCAGACAATCTCAGCGTCCTCATCCTGCAGGTTGGGGGTTGGAATGAGGGTGGCACCTTATTCCTTAAAACGGGCTCCTTGTAGCCCAACGCCAAATCCGCTGCCTTGCGGTCAGGTTTATTGAACCAAGGGCTTTGGTTGAGAACCCTAATAGTTCGCTTGTCTAGTCCTGGGCAACCTGACAGTATCATGCACACGCAATACAATGAATCTTTCCTCAAACAATTTCTTGATCCTCTGACCACTGCGGAGGATAAACAACGGTGCCCTACCTGCTACATCGAGCAGGGTGGATAGGGGTTTGGATGCTACTGCTCAAGCCTTCCCCTCTTCCTAATCCCTCTATTACGCCTTTTACTGTACCGTTCCAACTTCAACTTTATCCGCACAGTTTTCAACCCCCGATTCTTGGCCCTCCTCCAAACATGCTTTGCTAGGCATTTACTTTCTAATTTCAACTCACATCTGAACGCTGAGCGTCACTCCTGTCCTGTCGACAGGCCCATGTCCAACCAAGCGGTCCACCCTAGTTCATCAGCTTCCATTTGGAGCCCTCGCTCAACTTTCAGATTGGCATGCCTCGATGTACGCACATTGCTACAGATCAGTCAACAGACAGCACTTGCCCGAACATTGGAGACCTCTCGATCGACATCTGCTGCTTATCGGAGACCCACCTGCAAGACTCGAGCTCTGTGTTCACTCTGCGATTCACTTCAGGTGACGCAAGCAGTATTTTCTCATTGCGCCTATCCGGTGACGATGCAGCTTTGAGCACCGGCCAAGCTGGTGTTGGCATTGCCTTGAGTCCTCGGGCTGAAGCTGATCTGGTTGTTGGATTCCAATCAGTAGCCTGATTTGTGCTGTTCGATTGCCTACGAAGTCGCGCGGGACTAATAGGTGTCTATTCGTCATCGCTGCCTACGCATCCACAAACTGTAGCGATGATTCGGTAAAGAACGAGTTTTACCGCCAAGTGACCCAGCTCCTTTGCCACAGAAAGAGCACGGATACTGTTGTGCTGGCTGGGAATCTGAACGCTCAAGTTGGAAAGTTGTCCACTGATGAAATACATTTGGGCGGTCAGCACTGTGTAGGCTCGCGTAATGATAACGGTGAGCAGTTACTTCATTTCTGTGAAGATCCTCGCTTATTTCTTACGAGCACTAACTTTCGACACAGCACCCGCGAATCGATCACATTGAGATAGGTTACCGCAGGAGAGGCTGCATCCAAAACTATCGCTCGATTTGGAGCACATGTGTGGACACCGATCATGCACCTGTATGTGTTGACATGCGGATGAGTTTTGGCGGACGCACACGACGAGGCTTTGAGCGCATCGACACCAGCCAACTGGCGAAACCATCTGTGCAGAATGCGTGTCGAAATATGCTGACATGCGCGTTGAGTAAGCGCTGATTGGAGACAATGAAGGTCACTGGTCGCATGGTCACCAGACCTTACTAGCAGCAGGCAAATCCTCATGTGTTCTCTTCGCGGTCTCTGAAACCTATCGATGCCCGCCGGCATATTCCAGCTGGAAGCGAACACAATTAAACTCGCAAAGAGCTCCGGGCAAAACTCCGTGCTAGTCTGAAGAGAGACCGCGAATCCTGCTGTTCTCATTGTGCTTCAGAAATGGAAGTAGCTACTGCCCTTGATAACCATTGAAAGTTTTTCCGTGTAATACGGAAACGGGCAGCTGGAGACCAATTGTTAGTGAAATTATATGTGACGAGGGTGGACAGCCTATCCACACTTTTTCAAAGCGTTTGGAGCCTTGGACCGAGCATTTTGAAAAGCAATTTAATCGGCTAGAATTGTTTGATTCTTCGCCGGCCAGTGGTCACCCTGCTCCCTGGGCTGTCCCTTTGGATCCACCCTCTCGCTCAGAAGTCGAACGTGAGATCGAACTGTTGAAGTTAAACAGAGCCGCGGGACCAGATGATCTATCTCCAGCTCTCTTCAGATTAGGGACACTGCTCTTGTTAATGATCTACACGAGTTACTAGTTGAACTGTGGGTGCAGGAAACTGTCCCTTCCGACTGGACCTGCTCCATCATTGTTCCCATATTCGATGGATGCTGGCGTTTGGAATGCGGCAACTATAGCGGTAGCAGTATAATCACCATCGCCTCCAAATTACATGCCTCTGTAATCTTTCACTGACTGACTGGCAACCGTGAAATCCAGCTTTGTGAGGAGCAAGCCGGGTTTCGTCGGGGTCTTAGCTGCATCGGCCACATCTTCACCTTGCGTCGGTTGTTGCATCACTGTCATACATATCGACTGCCCACCGTTTTTGTATTCTTCGACATCAAAGGTGCCTTAGATTCGGTTGACCAAAGTGCCATTTAAGACTGCCTACTTAGGAATGTGTGTCCTAGAAATATGTATATTAGCCGAGTTTTATACGCCCGTAGCACGGGCCGAGTGAGGACTTACGGCAATCTGTCGCCGCCCTTCAGTATCTCCATCTGTGTGAAACAAGGATGCCTGCTGTCACCTTTCCTCCACAACTTCTCTATTGACGAAGTCATAGAGATTGCATTTACTGGATACGACTAAGAATGAGTGGATCTGCTCCCAGGAGAATGACTTCTTGACTTGGAGTATTCAAACAAAGTTGCCCTCATCAGTGACAGCTCCCAGACGTACCAAGCTGCACTGGACAGAGTAGCACTGGCTGTCAGCCGCTTCGGGCCTTGCTTTGCACCATAGAAGTGTAAAGCTTTCATCCAATACTGACTTGGACCGCTTCCTGCGCCGACCCTTGGTGGGGATCAGCCAGAAGTCTTTCAGAAATTCAACTACCTGGGAAGTTGTATCTGCGCCCTTAGGATCGAAGATGAGATCACGAACCGTATAGCAAAAGCTCGAGGTGCTTTTGCTAGTCTTCGCCACCGGTGGTGCCGGCGCGACATCACTCTCGCCCTTAAAGGTAGAGTTTACAGGGCAGCAGTACCTTCGATCCTACTGTACAGTTGTGAAACCTGACCTCTTAAATCAGCAGATATAAAAAGGCTAGTTACGCTCGACCATCGGTGCCTTCGCAGTTTGTCTCATATCTGGTGGGAACACCGCGTGAGCGAGGAGCTTTTTCGGCGCCTTGTTTACAACACAAGAAACGAAACTGAACTGCTCAGCACCGTCATTTCACGCACCAGGCTCCGATGGCTCGGCCACGTGTTGCGCATGCCAGCCCACCGACTCCCACGACGTGTGTTGTTTGCTAGCCGAGAGTGTGTATGGAAGAAAAGGAGGGGTGGCCAAGCGATGACTTGCCCGAGAGGAATGAAGGCCCTCAGTTCGAAGCT